CCTCATTTTTTTTTTTTTTTTTTTTGGTAACAAGTAACCTTGCACTTTTCAGTCCTAGGCAGATCACACGTCTATAAAATATATAAGAATATTTGAGTTGCAACGGTAATTGCTTTTTCGTCATATAAATATATAAAAATATATATATATATATATATACTGAGACAATAATCCGGTTAAGTATATATGACCAAATTTCTTCTGATTTCTGTTTCCTATCCTTCACAATATGAAAATACTGAAGCCTAAAAAGGTAACATAGATCACAAGGTGCTAAGGCTTGGAAGGGCCGGCAGCCATTGATAAACTCCTCACAGCTATCTTAACAGCACCAACTGTGCTAAGCTGCCTCATTTCAGGGCTCAGTCCATGCCCAAGTCCACCCCGGTTGGTAAAACCTTCTTCCACATGAACACCCACCAAGTATGCAATCTGACCACTCGTAAAACAAAATTAAACACGGTAAGAGACTTCGGGACGTGGTGTTTATTACCCTAATATAACGGAGAATCTCCCATTCCAAGTTCATTTAAAAGTTATCTTATGGTTTAAGACAGTTTCTCGAGAAGTTAGTCCATCATCAATGTCTAAACAATGTCAATTAGTTTTCATAACCATGTATGACTAGTAACCCGTCTAAAATTGGAATAACAAGTATTAGCCTGAATGTCTGCAACGCTTTAGACCAAGGCTTAAAAACAAATATAAGTAGTTCTCCAGAAATATATACATACATATATATAAATATATATATATATATATAAGTACATACACAACAATCCAAATCAAGCTATCAAGAGGAAGTGGCCAGCGCATGATAAGTGAAATGAGTATCACCACACTTCATCATGAAGAAAGCAAAAGTCATGTCGTGTATAAAGTTTATCTAGTTGAGGAAAGACAGAAACAGACAGAAAGATTCTAAGGGATTCTTTGAGAACAAGAATGCAATATTACCTTGCCAGTAGCATTGCGAACTGGTGATATGTGAAGAAAATTCCAAAACGAACTTTTATCCTTCCTGAAATGAAAAGGAAAATGTTTACTGAATTCATAAGAACAAAGCGCGGGCACGCCTTTAGTTTTAGGACATAGTGGACAATAAGAATCAACCTGTAATTCAAGATACGTACTGTGCATGCTTGTTCCATTCGAATACTTTCCTCTATCTGCGGAAAAAATAGATGCAACCATAACTCAATAGAACATCGGTTCCATCAAGTTCTCGAACTAAACAGCAAAGATAAAAGGCAACTACAACGGAGAGAAGTTTTACCAGATTAGAAGTCAAGGAATCCGTATCCGCACCATTGAGAAACCTACAGTTGCAACCCAATACTTCGTGCCTGGTATAGCCTGTATAGGTAAACAACTTATATTAGCCCGCTCAATATAGATATAGTTCTCTGTCTGCCCAAAATGTTTCAGTAATGTTAAAGTATAAAATTATTGTTGACCCACCTCCTAAACTTTTGGGATTGATTGATAAACTAACATGATATCAGAGTGGGAGGTCCTGAGTTCAAACCCCCGTGTAATTGTACTCTTTATCCTTATTTAAATTGTCATCATGAATTAAGTCTTTAATATATCTCGAGCTTAAATATTCACGTGTTGGGCTTTCCAAGTAATTTACCCACACGATTGCCTATTGTCCAACCCACACGTGAGGGAGAGTGTTAAAATATAAAATTATTGTTAGCCCACCTCCTAACAGCTTAAGCTTTTGGGATGGATTGGTAAAACTAACAAGTACAAAAGATGTTTCCAGTTTTAAGCACCTGTCAACTTTAGGAAGGCATCACTCGCATAAACTATGGGCATGTCAGGTAAGTGCGGATCAATCCTACAATGTGGCAAAAGCAAACACAACATTACAAAGACATCAGCAATCTTTGTAAAAGCAAACTCTATTGTTAAAGTAAGAAAGGTGAGAAATTTGCAATAACTCACAATACAAAGCTTTGTTTGATTCTACCAAGAGAAATAGTTAAGGATGAACTTAGATGGCCCACCCCAGATAAGCTGCATCTCTTTCCACACACAAGTCTGCCGGTCGACTCGCTATAGTGAGTTAGCATAGACAAGACGTTGTTAATAGCGGAAGCAGCACTTCTCTTCTCTACATCACTTGCTTCACATGGTTCTTCGATCTCCAATTCTGCGTGTTACACCATAATTGAGAACCCAACCAGAACTAAAAATTCGCTACAAAATGAAAATGAAACACACAGAAAACTAACTATATCAAAGAAAAAGTAGAACTTCAATCAAGAGCACTAGCAGGCCTAATTTGGAAAAAGCAAGAACATTGACAAGTAAAATGGCTCATTCCACGGCAATTAACTTAACACAAATTTCCTCACAAAAAGTGTTGGTAAACAGCTGAAATGAAGGATAAAAATGACGGAATTAGAAAGTTTTGTAAGTAAAATAACTTTCTAAAAAATTTGCAAAAATGACTTCGATCAAATGGTCTTTCAGTGTAATAATTAAAGAAAGTCATTTTGCTCATTTCACTTTGTAGGGTAGTCAACTTTGCAAATTCTTGGATGAAATGAAAGCGTTACCAAGGATTTCAATCAAGTGTTATGGTTCATTCCATAACAAATATAAGCATTGAAAAGAACACAAATTCCCAACCAAACAAAAAAAAAAAACGGAAACTCATGCCAGACTAAAGAGTAATGCAATAATCATTGCTGTAAACTTCAATCAAAACAAACCTCTAACATCAGAATCAAGAGCCAAAACCCGACCCATTTCCAACAAAGAATCCGAACACACCTCCCTCCTGCAAGACCCATAAACGACGTCGTTAATCTCCTCGGAACAATCAGCCCCAACATTTCCTCCGACAAACCCACTCCGGAACCGCCTCAATTTCCTCGAAACCGGAACCTGAACCGCCACGAAGTTGATCACCCTCCCATCCACCTTCCTGAAAACAGGGCACATATGAAACAGCATCCAAAACGGCGTCCCGTCCTTCCGATAATTCACGAGCGTGATCTGCACCGCCCTCTCCTCACGAACCGCCTCGCGAACCTCCATGACCGACCTCCGGCTAGTTGCCGGGCCCTGAAATATCCTCCCGTTCTTCCCGACCACCTCGGACTTCGAATACCCCGTCATCTTCAGAAACCCCCGGCTCGCAAAGACGATCGGGTGGCCGGAGATGCAGGGGTCGGTGATCGTGAAATTGTCGGGCAATTCGTCTAGGGCTTCTCGCGCCCATAGCGAATACGACTCGTTCAAGGATTGCTCAATCAGACCAAGCTGAGATTCCATCTTCTTCTAGATCTTCCGATTCGTTTGATGTAGGAATAATTGTAGTAATCTCTGTCTCTGCACGTTAAGCGAATCAGTCCCAATCCCATGTGGCACGTTTGGTTCTCGAGAAAACAGAAGAAAGAAAATTCTGAAAATTTTCTCTGGAAAATTTAATTTTTAACTAGAGGCGAACCCAGTGACTGAAATTGGTGTTCAATAGCTTGTAATTGGACATAGTGAGTGAGTGAATGAGTTCGAGTAATGAAGAAGAACAGGAAAAAGAACTGAGTCGACTCTGTTGCCAAAATGGCGAAAAAAAAATATCTTCTGAAACTTGTGATTGGGAGTTGAGATTGTTAAGGAATGCCCATCATTCGTTTTCGTTGGCTCATCAAAATGAAAATGAAATTTTAATTAAAATGTTGGATGGTAATTGGACGGATAAAATCGAAGGACGAAAATTCCTACGATCCTTCCTCCTCCGCATAATAACATCCCCGTGTATCTAAATCCAAAACTAATTGGCCGTTTTTAACTTAAATATAATATAAGTTGATATGTGATTTTATTTAAGAGTTAATAAAAAAGTTAAAAATTTATTTAGTTTATTAATTTAAGTTTTTAATGAAACTGAGAACGGAGCCTTAAAAAAACATAACATATAATCAATCGTAATATGTGGGTCCCACCTTAAAATTATTGACGAGGCTCTATTCGCAAGTAGCATGTAAAACAAAAACGTCCGTGTGTCGCTGAGTCACGTCTCTCACCGCTAACTAAAAATTTTCTGGTCCAGAAAAGCTTAGCTCCATTTAAAAAATGTATGTTATATTTTTTTTTAATATGATATAATAGCATGATTTTACATGATTTTGTAAATTTATATAATTACTTCTTATTTTACATGATTTTTTAATTAACTTAATAGCATGTATTATCGTATTAGAGACACTTAAAGAATTTATTATTTACTGAATAATGAGAAATTCATTTATACAATCATTTAAGATTTTGAATTTATTTTAAAAAGAAATATGTATAAAGATAACAATTAATTAAAAAATTAAATAGGGATAAATTTGAAGAAAATTATTTTAAAAAATTAAAAATAAAATAAGAACACATGAAAAAAATTATTCTCATAGAAATAAAATGAGAAACAACATATTTTTAAAAAACACACAAGAAATTAAAAGGTTTAAAAAATTCTCAAAAAGATGAAAATAAAAAAGGAAAAAAGAAAAAAATAAGAATATGGTATAGCAGTTCATAAAAAAGAGCTGATATTTGTATGTATTATTTAATTATGGTCCGTTTAATTCATTGATTTAAATTTTTAATTTGAATTTAGATGTTATTTTATATGAGTTTTTTACTATAATAAAAAGTTAAATATGATTATTTTTAAGAGTTTTTTACTGTAACAAAATTTAAATTTTAAACTCGAATCGATAAAATAAATTATGTCTTAAGGCCCGTTTAATTCGTTAATTTAAGTTTTTAATTCAAATTAATATGTGATTTTATATACGAATTTTTTATTATAATAAAAAATAAAATAATTATTTTTTATAATTTTTTATTATAATAAAATTTAAATTTGTGAAATGAACCATATTTTACGATATATGACCGGCTTACAATTGTGTGCCATACACGCGTCCGTACAGTGGTGATGATGGGCCACCACGAGCTTGAAAGAACCAATCATAGTACGACATTTGTCATCAACTGGACGGATGGTCCAGACAACTGCCAACAAGAAAATCGACGCCGATTCTTATCCAATCCACGTCAACCTTCGTCATATGCTTCGTCTTTTTCCATAGAATAATAATTGTAAGTTAAAGTGCCTTTTTTTAATTTTTTGTTTTGGATACACGTGGTCGCCACGCTTACAATTCAACAAGTATGCTTCATTAGTATGTCCCCGAATCGAATCTTAGTTATATAAGACCGTTTAATTTTTTGATTTAAATTTTTAATTTAAATTTAGATGTAATTTTATATGATAATTTTTTATTATAATAAAAAAATTAAATGTAATTATTTTTAAAATTTTATTATTATAATAAAATTTAAATTGATAAAATGATAATATATTTTATTCTAATTTCATTTAAATTTAAATTTAAGATAAACGCAAACGGAATTCTGTTTTGAGGTGACTATTTAGGAATTTTAGGATAACATTTTTTTTTTTTTGAAAACTATTTAGGATATCTTGTCGTTTACCTTTTCTAGATAATGTCGTTCGTATTTTGTAATTTTGTTATTTAATTATGGTGTAGGGTGCCAATTACGATAATTGCTCTTTAGATATATTACTATTTAAAAACGTCAGATGTTTATTAAGTTTTGTCAATTTTACATGTTTGTTCATATTTTGAATCAAAGATAAGATGTTAAGTTTTAAGTATTAACAATGGCAATGGAATACTCGAATGTAGGTTTTCGTTTTTTTTTTTTTTTCTTTTTTTATCCAAACGCAGAGTCTTATCTAAAGCTATCTTGTGTAGGGGTGTAAGAATTGACCCCGACCCCGACAACCCCGTCCGCCCCTACCCGAGCCTACCCGAAAATGGTGGGTTTTTTTTTTTTTTATCCAAACGCAGAGTCTTATCTAAAGCTATCTTGTGTAGGGGTGTAAGAATTGACCCCGACCCCGACAACCCCGTCCGACCCTACCCGAGCCTACCCGAAAATGTTGGGTTTTTTTTTTTTTTTAAATTTTCATATTATAATAGGCCGAACCCGCAATTTGCGGGTTGGGCCGCGGGTGGGGCAACTGCTCACCCGAGTTGCCCCAACCCGGCCGTTTACTTACTAATGGGAGAGAGTAATGTGATTGTGTTGTTGTGTGACACTGTAATTTGTGTCGTTTTGTTGTGTTACACGGTGTGAGTGAGAGTCAAAAATCCCTAATCCCTCAAATTCTTTCACTCTTCTCTTCCGTTTCATTTTTCCTTCCTCCCGGCTCCCACCCACCCAGTCGGCAGTCGCCATCGTCAAACGAATCATTTTCCTCATCAGCCTTACTGCCAGGTTCATTTTTGCTGTTACTTTGCCATCTATTGTCTTCGACCCAATCAACATCGGTAGATGAAGAATAATTCACATTTCCCACTATGTTTTCATTATTCACATTTGCGGTCGTTTTAAAGTCCTCCAAAGGACTATTTAACCCCGAGTTGGAATTTTTCTGTGCATCATCTACAAACCAATCACTAGCCATGGATGCAGATCCAACTGTCTCTTCATCCTTCTTGCCAATAGAGTCTTTTGCGGGACCAAATACTTCATCCATGTGAGTAGAAAGATCTGTGGAACCCATGAAAGGATCAAATGATGTTGAGTCCTTATGAGGTGTTGCCGAAGCGGCAGATTGAAAATCTGTTCCCCAACCAGAATCAGACAAATTTTTACTCTCACTTTCAGTAGATGACACAGAGGTTTTGGAAGGCTGGGCATTCTCAAACAAAGTAAGATTCTCACGACCGGTTTCAGAAGGCTTAGCATTCTCAAACAAACTAAGATTCTCATGAACAGTTCCAGAAAGCTTAGCACTCTCAAACAAATCATCAATTTCATGACCTTGTCTAATTTCCCCACCATCAATCTGGTTGCTAGACATTGACGGCTCTGCAGATACGTTAGAAGAAGCCCCTTTCTCTTTCTGAGCAAAGAAGTTCTCAATATTTACTCCAGACAAATTCAAGGAACTTTTGCTCTGTACTGGTGTTTCATTTGAGAGACGAGATCCAAATTTCTCCAACTCAGATGGCCATTTTATCTCTAAATTTAGAAGATCAGACAATGGCAATTCATCTTTCGGAGCAGTCCTTCCTCTTTGCGAATTATTTACTTCACCAGGTGGTGCCACAGTCTCCTGCAAAACGAAGTGCCATACTTTAAAGCATCCAATACACGCAAATATCAGAATTTCATCACGCGAATATCCGCCAGTAGCAGAAGAAATACACGTCTCTAGCAAACAAATGATTGACAGAACAGAATGAAAATGGAAAATCCCAAGTTAGAGCTCTGAAAAAATCAGATATTGCAAATCGAAAGCTGCATACCAAAGCAAGAAACATGGCTCTAACTCCCAAAGATTCGTCCAGAAAGAAACATTTTGGAACTTGTTACTTCACGGAACGAAATTTGCAGCAAACACTCAAAAACATCTCTAAATTAAGAAAAAAATGCATCCTATAAACGTGTGCACATCTCATTCTTACTTTAAAGCAGATAGATAATAAGGCTGTATCATATCAAATTTCCCATGTAGTCTCCGAACAACTTGCGGAATTCGATTAAAAAATTGCATCAAATCAAGCAGAAAACAACATAATTTGCTTCAAATTGTATCCCTTTCAAAACCTAATACAAAATTCAGCTAAAAAGCAAGAATCTTACTAAAAAAACAAGGACCAAATGATTCTTCAAAACGCCACTAAAATCTAAAATCCCTCCTTTTTTTTCCTTTTTCCTCAAGACAAATTAAATCGACACAACAATCAATCCAAAGGCAAAAGCAAAGAGTGAAACCGACATACCGATCCGTCCAAATTCAGGGATTCGAGCAGCCAGCGATAGCCAAGAGTGTTTCGGAAATTGAGAGGGTCGGGTACGACGTCGTTGAAGGCTTCTTGGCCGCAAAAGACACAAATAAGAGACTGTACTCCACGGAGGAGTCTGCCCTTGCAATGCCGACACCGGAGGTACGGCGGCGAAGAATCGAGCGCCGCAACGGCTTCCTCCGGCGACGGAAGATTCGGGAGAGAGGGATCGTCTGGGTCGTACGACGAGAGATTCGCATGTTTGCGGAGTGAGATCTGGACTTGCTTTATCAGATCAATCGGGATTTCCATTTCTCCCGATCTTTCTTTCTGATTTCTCAGCGGGAGAAGGAGAACATTACAATTGATGAGTTTGATACTTCAGAAAGGAACGACACCGTGGCGCGCCATATTAAATAAACGCAATTTTTTTTTTTTCTAATTCAAATCACTCACTTGGGGTATAAAAATTGAGCCCGAACTTGAAAAACTCACCCGACCTGAATACATAGGTTTTTTTTTTAATTTCGGATTCAAATAGTACCAACCCGCACTGTGCGGGTTGGGGGCGGGTCGGGCATTCTTGAACCTGCAATGTCCCGACCCGGCCGTTTTCCACCTACCCCAAGCCAGGGGTTTTCCACCGACCCGACCGTTTCTTGAACCCGCAATGCTGCAATGAGCCGCCACTTGAAGATGATTGGAAGACTTTTTATGATATAACTTTGAAGTTTAGTGCCACTTTGAATGTCACTTCAAATTCTTACTTTCATGAGCTGTGTGAGATGCAAAATCAACTATCTGAATTAAGCAAACAAGATGACTCAATGCTTTCATCCATGGCTGTGAGTATGAAAAAGAAGTATGACAAGTATTGGGGGAGTGTTGAGAATATAAATTGTCTTCTCTTTGTGGCTGTTGTACTTGATCCTAGGTACAAAATGGATTATTTGACATATTGTTTCTCTATAGTGTATGATTCTTCCATTTCTGAAAAATTATCAAAGAATGTGAAGGATACTATGTACCGGCTGCATGAGGTTTATAGTGGGGGCAAAGGTGAATCTGTGGCTAATGCAAGTAGAGGGGAGGCGGCAACAACAAGTACAACAGAGGTAAAAATGACTCTAGAAGGAAAAGGGTGTTTGTGGAGCTCCTTTGTTAAGAAAATGAAGGAGAAGAATGTGAATGAGTACAAAAATGATGTGGACAGATACTTGACAGACCCTATGGAGGATCCAACTCGGACAAATTTTGATGTTTTAGAATGGTGGAAGAATAATGCAACTAATTACAAGGTTCTCTCACTAGTTGCAAGAGACATACTTGACATCCCTGTTTCAACGGTAGCCTCAGAATCTGCTTTTAGTACCGGAGGCCGCATCCTCGATCCCTTTAGGAGTTCATTGAGCCCCAAGATGGTGGAGGCATTGATTTGTACACAAAACTGGCTGCGTAGTCGTGAGCACATCAACCTTATTGACATGGAAGAATTTAATGAATATGAAGATATTGAGTCAGGTAATCTTTTTACGTTTTACTCTTTTTTTTTAATTTTATTTCATCTCCTTATTGTTTATTTTGTTGTTCTAAACTTGATTCTGATGATTTTTTTTGTTATGTTTTCTTCTCAAGATTTGTCAACTTCTGTTGCAACACATGAGGGGCAAGTTGGGAATGAAGATGCTATTATTTGGATTAAACAGTTTGGAGTGGACTAACTTTTATTTCATGTCCTATTTTGCGACTATTTTTATATGGACTGTTTATCTTTATATGGTTTATTTATTCTGAATTAAACTGTTTATTTTATATGGATCATTTTGCATGTTAGAAGGGTACCAATCTAATTGAAATATTCTAGTTGTTTTTTTATTAGTTATCTACTTTCACCAACCCGAGTAACCCTACCCTACCCGGCCGATTTACACCCCTAATCTTGTGTGATGAAGAATAGAAAGGAAGGAAGGCAGCGGGGAGGTTTAATCGGATGAAGAATGACAGTGCAACTTGATTTGTAAGAAGTAAAAGAGGACGAAAGAGAAAATATGGTAAAGAAAAGTTGTGTTTAGTTTAGAATTATAAGTTTGGATCGAACTGAATAGTTCAGTATGAAACCTGTCACTATTGGTCGAGCCTTAACCTCCAAGCCAAGATGGGTTGAAGTTTTGAGTCAGCCTAAATACCATGTTCTCAGTTTTTGAAAAGACCTTATAAAATTTTATATCGGGCCACTCTTAAGTTTATTGGGCTTTAAGGTTAGGCTAAGTCAACCCTCTCCATTTAGAATCAAGTCAGGCGGTTCAAATTTTCACATCTAATTTGGTCATCATAATTCAAATCTTCTTAATTTCAAATGGAAGGATAATATTGATAAATACCCATTAAAAGTGAATGGGTCAGAATTCTTACCCTTTATTCTTGATTCATAATCTTTTTAGTCAAATAATTACACTGACAAAGGGATATTTATTACGAGTAAAGAGTAAAAATCTAGATTCATGCACTCTTAAAGATAAATTCTCTATTTTTTCTAAACATGGGAATTGAATGGAAAGTTAAAAACCAAATTTTAACAAAAATTATTTTTTGGCTAATAATGAATAAAAATTTATTTGGTATAGATAGTGAATTAGGAGGTTTTTTTTTTGTTTTTTTAAAATAAGTGTTTAAAATAACTGAAAACTCTTTTTTTTTACGAGCTTTCCCTTTTTTTAATTATTGAATGAGGATATAATTTTTTTTCATTCACTTTTTAGTATTAAAATACCAAAATTAACCCCAACACTTTTTTTATACCATCCGAAATGCTTTCTTATTTTTTTTCCTCCCCTCTTTGGTCTTTTGTAGTGCCTTCACGATCTCTATCGATGCGGTGACACAATGGTCTTCAAGCTTAGCGAGATCAAGCAACAGTGATCGACAAATATCGAGTTAGAAACTGTGGATTAGATCTCTGTGAAACAACGTATGTGACGAAAAGGGTGATTTGACATCGTGAGGTGTGAGAGGGCATCCGGCATCATGCTAGGAAGGAGCCATTGATTTGCCAGTGCGTTGTGCGGGGAAATAGTCGATTTGCCCAACAAGGGAATATAGGAGAAAATGTGAGAGCTGAAATCTATTTTTAGGAAAATTTTAAAATTTCGTATGTTGGAAATGGTTGTTCAAGAGGAAAAAAAATTAAATAAAAGTTGAAGCCCGTAAAGAAATTTAAAAAATTGAAAGAGAGAAGCTTCAAAGAACTTCTTGAATTAAATCTGAGAATTTCAGGTACAAGACTCTGATGGCTTGTTCATTTGCATCTTTTAAGTTATGGTGATTTGAGTTCAGATTTTGATTTGAGTTAAAGTGTATTTGAGTATGGTTTAAGTTGAAACTCTAATTTAAGTTTGTGTTTAGATGTGCACATTTTGAGTTATGGTTTGAATTGAGAATCTATTTGATTTTGTGTTTAGGTCGGTCAAAACTTGAATTTATATTTGGATAGTATTTTAATAAAAACTCAATGGTGGTGAAAAATTTTAATAGGGTATATGGGTGGGGTTTTACTCATTTTTTCGTTGTGAACGCATAAAAAAACATCTCAATCAGAATTAAAATTAAAAAGTTATGACGTTTTTAATAATAGAAAAAATACTGTTCATTAATTTGAATTTGAATTTAGGAACTTAAACTCAGATTTTAGCCCCAAACTCAAGTTAAAAGGGAAACTTGAACTTGAGATTTTAGTTCCAAACTCAAGTTCAAACTTAAATTTTACAAACAAAAAAAAACATGAATTTAAATAAAATTATAACTTGAGTGCAATTTTTTTTTTTTGAGTTTGAGAGTAAATGAATAAACCCTAACAAACTAACACCATCAACTCCAAGCGAGAAAAAAAAAAAAAAAAAAACTATTGCCATCATCTAATTTAGTATTACATGTGTATAAGTAGAATAACTAGCCATTAAAATGACTGCTGTTTTTTTTTTACATTCATCAGCAAGGGGATGAAAAAACGAATGGGCACAAATCGTGGCATTTACACTTAAGTCTATAAAATAATTTATAATGACATTTTTACTTTTTACTAAGTACGCTTAAAAATAATTATAAAATTTTATAACTAGTCATAGAAAAATATATATGAAATTATATTATCTCAATAATCATAAAACGGACAAAATTATAATATTATTAAACAAGAAACATATCTTAAACAAGGGGTTTAAAAGTGATATTTTTGTGTAATTATTACTTGGTTTCACTAGGCATTTATTTACTAAACCAGCAGAAGGTAAAGTCATGGTTTATTTTATAGTTTTAAATTACTGTTTAAACTTTTTTATTGCGTTATTTTTTCTTATAAAATTAAAATTTTTATTCAAATTTATGAGCTAAACACGACAAAAGTAAATATGTTGGCCTCGTTCGTTTCGCTGATTCGAGTTTAGATGTGATTATATGTGAGAGCTTTTTACTGTAGCAAAAAGTTAGATGTGATTGTTTGTGAGAGCTTTTTTACTGTAGCAAAACTCGAATTCTAAACTCGAATCAGCGAAACGAACGAGGCCGTTATTTACTTCACTCTCATCAATGACTCCAATTGAGCCGAAATTAGCGAAAGAAAAAGGGGATCCACTAAGGGGCAGGTGACATCACCCGAGAAAAGACTTTGGGATCACCGTTAAACTATATCTCCATTAGCTAAACCCTTTCTTACCCTGCCTTTGGACTCGTATTTTGTTCGTACACAATCAACGGAGGCCTCCCCGACATATGTTGCAACGTCTTCAATAGCATGCTCTTATTTCGTCTTTCCCTTAATAAGTCATCAAATTTGGTGCTTTTTGATCCCCAGTTGCTATGGAGAACAAAGGACGAAATACAATAGATTCCTCTATTTAAGTGGTTCTCGCTTCTCCTTGTTCCTGTTCCTAACTCCTCCCCGGGTAGTTCCCAATGGACCGTACTCGAGCTTCGGATCAATGTCCCCAGAAGCAAGGAGTACGCCCGCGTGTTTCAACGAGAACACCGAAAAAACCTAATTCAGCTCCACGTAAGGTAGCCAAAGTACGGTTGAGCAATCGACATGATATATTTGCTCACATTCCGGGCGAAGGTCATAATTCGCAGGAACGGGATGGTTTACTATTTCAATTTGGATTTTGTTTTCTTTTCTCGCGGAATTCTCATTTTTATTGATCAACAATTGAATTATGGAATTTTCTTCGAGAGCTGCGGAACTAACGACTCTATTAGAAAGTAGAATTTCCCACTTTTACACGAATTTTCAAGTGGATGAGATCGGTTGAGTGGTTTCAGTTGGAGATGGGATTGCACGTGTTTATGGATTGAAGGAGAGTCAAGCTGGGGAAATGGTTGAATTTGGGGGTTTAACAAGCCAATTGGACGGGAAATCAAAAACACGCCAACGGTGTTTTGGTACTTTTCTCTCA